CACGAGTGGCAAACAAAGCACGTTCATTTGTAAACCTAACCTATCATACTAATATACACTTCCATAAGAACAAATCTCTGGCATTTAATCACATCTTCAAAGCTCAAAAGGTGAGCATTTCTTGGACCGCCACGAAACATTTTACAGGCGACGAAGAACACAAGCGATAAACCAGGTAATAAATTACCTATTTCAAATATAACGTCAACAATTACTGGCATTTAATCACATCTTCAAGCTCAAAAGGTGAGCATTTCTTGGACCGCCACGAAACATTTTACAAGCGACGAAGAACACAAGCGATAAACCAGGTAATAAATTACCTATTTGAAATATAAGTTGTTCAATGGAATTCCTGTATTTAAAATGTTAATAACAAAGAAGACTTTTCAGGATTTAATATACCCTCAGACGACAGTCCAAGTCTTAATTTAACGTTTGTTAATAATATATAAATATATATTATTTATTTATATTTATTTATACATATAAAACCTTTGCTTTAGTAGATAATTTTCTTTCCTGCGTATTCACATACAGGTAATAAAACTGATCTAACAATGATTGTTTGTTTGTTTTTGAAATTCGCGCAAAGCTACATGAGGGCTATCTGCGCTAGCCGTCCCTAATTTAGCAGTAAGGGAAGGCAGCTAGTCCTTACCACCCACCACCAACTCTTGGGCTACTCTTTTTAACAACGAATAGTGGGATTGACCTTCACATTATAACGCCTCCACGGCTGAAGGGCAAGCATGTTTGGTGTGACGGGGATTCGAACCCGCGACCCGCAGATTGCGAGTCGAGCGCCCTAACCACCTGGCCATGCCGGGCCGCTGATCTAATAATGAACCAATAAAATTCTCTAAACTGGCGTAATAAAATGGGTAATAAAAAGTGTGGGTAATAAACTATAATTTTTCATAAAACTAGAATGAATGCATGTCCATTGTACGAAACATTCTAATTATTGAAACTTATCACGAAATGTTTTGCAGTATCCGATTATTTGGAAATTAAACGTATACTTTTTTTTCAAGCTTTTTTTCAAACCAATGGATCTGCAGACCTAACATTAAAATGCAATTATAACTCTTTTAAAAGGAAAAATTATCCAATTAAAGCATTTTCAAAGCTCACGTTTTTCAGCTGCGATTAACAAGCGAAATTCTCTAGAAAGTTCCGTAGTAGTGAAAGCGTTAATTGGGAAAAAATAAATGTAATATTTTGTCGAATGTTGTTAAGTATTTTGTATTACTTCTAAATGCGAAAAATGCCATCCAATCTATAAACGTTCGCAATTTCTTGTATCAATTAATCTCATAATAATTAATATTTCCCATTTGACATTCATTGGCGATCATGATGAAAAACAAACTGAAATGGAATAGAAAAAAACACGTGTTAGGACTAATACAGAAAGCTAAGTATTTTTTACAGTCATTAAGTATTACAGCGAAAAGAGTTAGACACAAAAACAGTCCCAGAGTTGATGTCTAACATTTGTTACTTACACCGCATTTTAATAACAGTTTACAATTCCGAGTTGTGGCCCAGCATGGTCAGGTGGCTAGGGCACTCGACCAAACATGCTCACCCTTTCAGCCGTGAGGGCGTTATAATGTGACGGTCTATCCCACTATTCCTTGGTAAAAGAGCAGACCATGAGTGTTACCTCTACACTGTTAAATTAAGGACGGCTAGTGCAGATAGTCCTCGTGTAACTTTGCGCGAAATTTAAAACAGACAAACAAACAAATAATTCTAAGTTAATGGACTTACAACACTAAAATCCGAGGTTCGAATCCCAGCGTCGGACAAAGCAAAGCACAGAGTCCATTATGCAGCTTTGCGCTAAAACAAACAAGCAATTCTGAAGCAAAGTGCCACTTGGAGGTAATATAATTAAATATAGCATATTCATAAAAATGTTTCCATCACAAGTACTTGTTTACATACAAATATATATATAAATGCTATGCAGCTGATTTTATACTGGTTAACAAATAACCATAAAATCAAGCAACGTTCAAAACGAAGTTCATAAATCTGAATTCACACAGTGGGCAAGAAAAATAATACAGAACAGATCAGCAATGAAAAAAAAACACACGTACGTAAACAATATTTTAAACAATTATTTAACATTCATTCTATGAACTCATGTATTATCGAAACATTTGGAACATAAATGCAGTTCGTTATTTTGAAACAAACCAAGGAGAACATTTTATTATTTTAGAAGGTTCAATGCCTTCAAACAAAATTTACAATATACAGAGACGAAAGTTATGACAGCACGAATGAGGGTTTTAAGGTTGACAAAAACAAAAATTCATAGGTACATACACAATTTTACCGTTGACGAAAAAATGCATAGGCAAATAAACAATTTTACCATTGACAAAATAAAATGCATAGGCACATAAACAATTTTACCGTTGACAAAAAAAATGCATAGCCACATAAACAATTTTAACGTTGACGAAAAAATGCATAGCTACATAAACAATTTTACCGTTGACAAAAATAAAATGCATAGGCTACATAAACAATTTTACCGTTGACAAAAATAAAATGCATAGGCACATAAACAATTTTACCGTTGACGAAAAAATACATAGGCACATAAACAATTTTACCGTTGACAAAGAAAAATGCATAGGCACATAAACAATTTTACCAAAACATTACAACAGCATACGCCCATCTAGTAATGAGTCTGCTCCCACTCAATTGATTCGTGTATACCAATGGTGTATACACGGGGCAAGCTGGAATCAAAAGACCAGGAAAGAATATGTCAATCCAACTGTCCAAAATAAAAGACTCCTCGATCTATACAAATTTTGAAATGTCATTATTTAAGTTCTGTAGTACATACTGGTGTATAAAAGACATTTTAATTCTAGGAATAAACGACGTTATCACACCAAATTTGTTATATTTCTTGAATTGGACACGCAACGTTTCGCTTTACATCTTCTTCAAGAGCGTTACACTAAAACACAAACTGTAACTGACAATTGACAACTGAAGATTTTTGGAACGCTCCTGAAGAAGCTGTAAAGCGAAACGTTGAGTGTCTATTGAAAGAAAATTAACAAATTTGGTGTTTTAAGGTCGTTTATTTCTAGTATTAGAAATTTGAAATATGTTGCGAAATGAAAAAGTATATCTGGCATTAAAAACATGACAAGCTCAAGGTCGCAAATCAGTCAAATCCAATGTGGCCAGGAACGCCCACGGTGCTGTATTTCACGCACATGCACTTACAAGCTCAAGCACTAAACTTATCAGTGTGCACGTTTTACGGTAGAGTTAAAAATTAGGTTATGACGAGCGTAGCAGTACAAGGAAGTCTGAAGTTCCATTGCTGTGTTCAAAAGGGCGTAGGAAATGATTTTAAAAGTTATTTATCAACTTTATAGCAATATACATGGTGTTTGGTAAGTTTCCCTATGTTATTTTGAACTGCGTCAAAAACAGCAATAAAAGAAACGTATAATATTCGAAACAAATAGAGCTGTATATCAAACTTACGTCATTCTTGGACCATCTAACGAGATTTTACCCAACCTTGCTATCACAATCTTCACAGATGTGTTTCTTTTACGTGTAATAAAATTTCTTCTTACAAGTTCATCTCCTCATCCACTCTCCTTAACACAATGAAAGTTCAGCATCTTTTGAGACATAACTTGCTAAAATGTAAACTCACATTCTTCAAAGCCATAAAAGCTTTTATTCTAGCGAAATCCCCAACGTAAATGTGTAGCATTAGATTATAACTCTGAGCTATTTGGAGTGTGAGTTCACCCTGTCGGTGGAGGGACGTAAACTGCTAAATGGTAGTCTTCATTTCCTACTGTGAAACCTGACTTGTTTCGCTCAGGTTTCAGCTACGGGGAAATATCGCCTTCTGTATATATGGCATTAACTCGACAAGGTACGTGCTCCTCATCTTCACAGATCTCTCACTAGAATTTACATTATCATCTCCGTACACTTATCTTGAAAGGACGTTAACTCATCATCTCCGTACACTTATCTTGAAAGGACGTAAACTCATCATCTCCGTACACTTATCTTGAAAGGACGTAAACTCATCATCTCCGTTATACCTAACCTGAAAGTAAATAGACACAATGTCTTCAGAGATATCTAACTAAAGCTGTAGCTCATCATCTCCGTAGACTTAACTTGAAAGGACGTTAACTCATCATCTCCGTAGACTTAACTTGAAAGGACGTAAACTCATCATCATCTCCGTTGTACCTAACTTGAAAGGAAGTAGACACAACGTCTTCAGTGATATCTCACTAAAACTGTAGCTCATCATCTCCGTAGACTTAACTTGAAAAGACGTTAACTCATCATTTCCGTGCACTTAACTTGAAAGGACATTTATTCAACGTTTTCGGAATTTTAGCTCATCATCTCCGTAGACTTTACCTGGAAGTTTGTAAATTCATCATCTTCGTAGACTTAGCTTAGAAGAGTAAAATTTGACCCTCGTCACACATTTAACATATTAGCATAAAAGTGCATTGAAATTTTTAAAGTCACTATCTTCTTAGGTTTAACTTTTAAGGTACAAATTTCCCCTCTTCGTTGACGTATCTTACAACAGTATAAACTCAACCCTTGCGACGATTCAATTTTTAAAGGTACTTCTCTCTAAACCTATTTATTTTTAATGCAAGTATATTATAAGCTGCAAAACCTACTTTCTCGTATATATATATACAAATACGTATACACACAGTTAACATGCAAAATAAGACCTTTTCCCCACACATTTCCTTCTTTAATTTACCTTCTTCACAGACGTACCCCGCTATAGTGGTATACACACAGTTAACATGCAAAATAAGACCTTTTCCCCACACATTTCCTTCTTTAATTTACCTTCTTCACAGACGTACCCCGCTATGGTGGTATACACACAGTTAACATGCAAAATAAGACCTTTTCCCCACACATTTCCTTCTTTAATTTACCTTCTTCACAGACGTACCCCGCTATGGTGATACCTAAGCCTTGCTGATCTTTAATAAGGTCCACCTCGAAGGTCTCCATTTCAGGCAGATCTATCGCCACCTTGTTCTGAGTGTTGTTAGTAGAAGGTCCTTCTAGTTCTTCGCTTTGTGCCTTTAAGGATGTCTAAAAGAGTAGACCCAGAAAAAAAGATTAATTACTATGTTTTTGTAATAGTTACTTTATGAAAATGTGACAAAATAACGTTTCGTTATGCAGTGAACGTGTGCGCAAAATCTTCGAAAAATCGTAATTATGCTTCAATAAATATTTTCAATGACTTCAAATACAAGAAATTTAAATAATCAAGCAGGTTTTTACAAATAAATATAGTAAACAAATATAGTAAAATGCCACAAAAGTAGAAAGCCCGGTAGAGTGAAAGGGTCCACTCAGAGTAAACAAAGGTCTTTGCAGCTCTTGTGAAGAAGTGAAACGCAATGAGCCAACTACAGAAATAATCAAGCAGGTTTTTACAAATAAATATAGTAAACAAATATAGTAAAATGCCACAAAAGTAGAAAGCCCGGTAGAGTGAAAGGGTCCACTCAGAGTAAACAAAGGTCTTTGCAGCTCTTGTGAAGAAGTGAAACGCAATGAGCCAACTACAGAAATACGGAGTAACAATTTCAGTTTGGAAAACTGTGTTGCTGTTTTTAAGTCATCGTTCACTAAAAGATAAATACTGGTGAGAGAAGAACCTAACAATACAGTAGGCGTTATTTATATCAATTCTCCACCGCGGAAGACAGATAATCATGAAAACAGTTAGATCTTCTAACTAGGTGTAGCATGTAGCAATTCGACATAGGATTCAGTGAGTTATTTATTCTATGGAGGTAAATCTCCTAGAGAGAGATAAATCTACTTATAAAGCAGAATTTTAATAATATAATAAGTAAATGGTATGAGTGTAGCGAGCTGTTTTCTATCGTAGTTCAACAATGTAGCATGTACATGCAAGAGAGAGAACATGTTATATCTTCAAATTGTAGCAAGAACATTCAGACTGAATCTTCTACAGATAAACAAAGCCATGCTCGAGTTTATACATAAGAATGGGACAGGAAAACTATAGCAATGAATTTCCGCAGACATCATCTAGTACTTCTATAACATGGATTATGAAACGTAGATCGACTGTTGCTGGAAAAACTACAACAAACAACGAGAAAACAGAATGGAAAATTTGAACAACAGCTGCTACAGTTTTATTACACAATGAAATATCCAGATCCACTCGTTCCAGTATTCATCTGTTACACTTGATCTGCTACGCTTCTACAAACCACTACAGAAGCTCTAGACCACTCGTTCCAGTATTCATCTGTTACACTTGATCTGCTACGCTTCTACAAACCACTACAGAAGCTCTAGACCACTAGTTCCAGTATTCATCTGTTACACTTGATCTGCTACGCTTCTACAAACCACTACAGATGCTCTAGACCACTCGTTCCAGTATTCATCTGTTACACTTGCTCTGCTACGCTTCTACAAACCACTACAGAAGATCTAGAGCTTCTGTAGTGGTTTGTAGAAGCGTAGCAGATCAAGTGTAACAGATGAATACTGGAACGAGTGGTCTAGAGCATCTATAGTGGTTTGTAGAAGCGTAGCAGATAAGTGTAACAGATGAATACTGGAATGAGTGGTCTAGAGCGTCTGTAGTGGTTTGTAGAAGCGTAGTAGATCAAGTGTAACAGATGAGAACTGGAACGAGTGGTCTGGAGCATCTGTAGTGGTTTGTAGAAGCGTAGCAAGTCCAATGTAATAAATGAATATTGGAACGAGTAGTCTAGAGCTTCTATAATGACGTGAAAAAACGTAGCAGGTCAAATGTTAGAGGTGAATTACAAAAATGAGCAGACTAGAGCGTCTATAATTGTTTTAGTAAAACGTAGTATATAATATGCAACAGATTGATACTGGAACGAGAGGTCTAGAGTTGCTATAATGATTTGTAGAAGCGTAGCAAGTCAAATGTAACAGGTAAATACTGGAACGAGTGGTCTAGAGCTTCTATAATGATGTGAAAAAAGTAACAGATTAAACGTAACAGATGAATACTGGGACGAGTTGTCTGGAACTTTCACAATGGTCTGTAAAATCGTAGTGCACCCAATGTAACAAACAGATACTTCAGCAACCAATAAAAGATATATGTCTTCTATAATGGTTTGTAAAAACGTAGAAGATCAAATGTAACAGCCGGACACAGGAACAAATGGTCTAGGTCTTCTATAAAGAATTTTAAATATGTAACAGCTCAAATATAACAGACAGATAGCGGAATGAATGGTCTAGTTCATGCTAACATGTATTAGAAACTGAAACGATTTCTGTAACAGGCACGCGCTGGCTGTACAGATACTGTTAAGTTTAAATCCCTTAGATTGGCTAGCACGTGTACAGTGGCATTACCAGTGTAATTAGGATGTGTTCCACTGTTCATAAGAGGAGTTGAACCAAAAGAGACTAGGTCTTTAATACCCTCCCTTACAGTGTCGTTCTGAAGATGTATTTAAAGACCTACAATTGAGCAACAGCTAGCTCGTGTTATACATACTGAAAACTCGCTCCACGTGTTTGCGGTAAAAGCACACGCTCACAGTCCCATGCCCCATACACTTGTAATTCGATGAAAAAACTTATTTATATCTGCAATATTCGTTAAGGAGCATGCCTTGTAAAAGAAGAAACCCAGAGCGAACTGTTATTGGTCAGTTTCTACTGCTTAGTTCCAGGTAAAACAGACGGTGTGCTGTCGAACAGCGAACTGCTGAAGTATGAGTGTAACACCAACGACAGAAGCTTTTCTCTTATCGTTTTGTCTATTGTACTGCAGCGCCCCACCAGGCACGACGTGTTAGCTATAAATTGCGCATTCTCATTTTTCTTTAACAGTATGCTAGGCCAGCTATTAATTCAATTTACTAGACAATGGAATATAATCTACAAACTGTCACCTCTACAACTCAAGTACATAATGATATGATAATGTTAACTGGTTCATTTGTTTGTATGGAGTTAAGCACAAAGCCACATAGTGAGCTATCTTTACTGTACTCACCACGGGTATCTAAACCCAGTTTTTAGCGTTATAAGCCTTCAGACTTACCACTGTGCCACTGGGGGAGGCCTAAACTAATTGAAATACATGAGTGTGCGTACGTATATATAATACATAACTATATATATATATATAGTTATTTACTAATATTTTCTACTAAGTCATATGATAATTATCTTATATATTAGGTCGTCAAGAAATTAATATCGCTTTTTTTTAGATGAAAAAACCCGAACAACTTACATAGCAAAACAATGCATTTATTAAAT